GAGTGGCCCCATCCTCCTGACGCCCACCCTTGAGATATTTATAAGGTCCCCTCTCAGCCTTCTCCAGGCTAAACAAGCCCAGCTCCCTCAGCCTTTCCTCGCAGGAGAGATGCTCCAATCCCCTCATCATCCTTGTAGCCCTGAATTTGGAGAAGTTCACTGTCTGATATGACTCTTAACAGGCTAATATAATGGGATAATGGATTATCTGGTGTTTAGCATAAGAATGAGAAATCAGCAGTGCTGACTTCAGTAGCTAATTTGCACAGTTCATTGGACGACCTTGGTCATCAGCTGTCGGTCATTCAGTTCTTCTCTCTCTGTTTCCTCTTCTCTAAACTAAGAATGACAGTACCGTCCAGTGTCTGGCTGCTACGCGGTTAGAAAATAACGCACATTCCTCAGATGAAAAAGTGTTATATAAAACTGTTATAAAAAATTAATTTAATCTAGGATAAGTGCATGAGTTTCTTGGGAAGGCTGCTGCATGCTTCCAAGTAATCATGTTTTTTGCTGATAGAATCAGTAACAAAAGCTTAATTCTTTTCCTGACTAGCAGCATTGAGTGACAAAATGCTTCTGAATCCAACAAAAGCCACGCAGGCCCTTCATTTCTACCGACCTCTGTAGCGACTTTGAAATGGAACGATTCCTTATGGACCAACAGCTACATCGATTGCTACTTTCCATCTGTTGCATATATCTTACCTTTGGTAGTACTTTGATACTACGCCAGTTTTCCTCATAGATTAGTAGTACTGCTGAGAGTCCCGAGCTCAGCTGCAAAGGAAAAAAAAAAAAGTATTTATGAATAAATTACAAAAATTAATTTGAGAGAGCTCCAAAAAAGAAGGGAAAAAAACGTTGCCGGGGTAGTACCCAAGATTGCTGTTAGGAATTACTTGTGATAAAATTTATAATGAATGTTGAAAATGTTACGTACTTCTAGGTGTGGAAGGTGTATAAAACAGAGTATTTTATTCAGTTGAGTGATGTAAGGAAAAGCAATGACGTACCTTTCTTGTAGCCTGCCATACATATTATGTTATAAACCAGCGTAATTTGATAGCACGTGTATGGTGGTTACGCAATATTTTTGTGTGAGGGGAGAATGTATTGCAGCAAATTAAATTGAAGATGCAAATGCAAGAAAATTGAAACATTTTTGTGGAAGATTTTTTCTTCTGTTTTAATTGGACATAACATATTTCTTATATGGTTAAAGACAAGAAGCCACTGCCACGTTAATCAATTATGTCAGCACAACAGAACGTTTCGTGGAATCCAGCAAGCAGTACGATATTTATGCTCTGTAAAAAGTTAGACCCCGTTCAATAATATTAGCAGGAAAGTACATATGTAAAAGATACAAATTGTTGTATTACATACTTCTTTATTACCTAGTAGGAAAAAAAATCCTTATAGGCATATTATTACATAATTTTCCATTATGGACTTTATAATATTCCTCTCTAGCACCCAGAGTTACCCAATGTAAGAATTTGACACTGTTATTTATATATGTTTAAATGTATATTCGTATTCATTCATGTACATTCATACACATAAGGTATCTGACAATATCTTATTTTATGTCCAATATCTTACATATTTCATGGTTTTTTAAACTCTAAGTTATTTATTAAATAATAAAGGCATTGGGAAACATTTTAATACAGCTATTAACTGATATTCATGATGGTATTTTCTTTTATTAATTTCAATTCACTGTCTTTAATTACATTATGTGTTCTTGTCACTTGAGAAACAGAAATTCACTGTTTTTCAGAAAGACCCCCAAAGCCATCCAAGCTCTTAATTGAGATCAGTTTTAGTTTAAGAATTAGCTGTCTAGAATTTCAAATCTTCTAATCCTTTGACTTCACCCTCTCATGTTTCTTCTTTAAGAGTCTGCAATTTGAGGTTGTTCTGTGTTGTGTATGCTACTGTCATCTTATGGTATTGTTAATCTTTGAGTTTAATCTTAGAAAAGAGGGTTGATGTTCTCATAATCATGAAACAGCTCTTAGTATGCTTACTCACCATATTCAGGAATATTGTTAATTGTGGATCAATATTGCCCATACGTAGGTATAGGAACCAGGAGGGTGACAGCTAGCTCCTTTCCCACAGCTATTGCTGATTAGTTGTGGGAAAGGTTCATTACAATTTTCTGATTAAGGGTGAAGTCTAATAAAAGCATCTTTGTCTGGAAAAAAACAATGTTTGGGGACAGCTTGTTCCCACTGTGGGAATTCCGTAATGCCTGAGAGATGATACAGCATAGCAGGTAATAGTCATATGAAAACACATTAAAATTTAAAATCACAATGGTGGCACTTCCAAGTAAAAGTGTGGCATTAATCTATTTTGATCTTTTCAGTGCTTTTCAAAAACTATCAGCTTTAATTTTTTACCAAAAGATATCATTTTCTTCAGAAAGAAACACGATTTAGATCAGTTACAGTTAGGAATACAGGTAATGTAGATAGAAGGTTTTAAATGAATGGTATAATTAATTCAAAGTACATATCGTGTTTTATTTCTGAAAGCAATCTCAAAAATGACTATGACCCACTGAATTAATATATTGAAAAAAATTATGCATTTATATAATTCTTATGTTTTCTTTCTATGTTAAAAAAGATTTATAGAGCTTAGATAGGTTTGTAAGATAATGCAAGCATCCGTGCTAGGTGTGAGAAAAGAATCTACATATTCTGTTTCACAGGTGCATGTATTAAGATCCGAACTGGTGTGAAATCTCGGTCCCACCGAAGTCAGTAAGAGGGCTACTGCATGTCTGAGTTTCCCCAAACCTGTTCTTTTCTGCAAGAACTGTAGTATTAAATTCCTCTGCAACTTAACTACTTTCATGCAAGTGGCCGTGTAGACTATGACTACGCTGTCAGTTTGGCCAAGCACCTAGCTGTCTACTGGTACTTCTGCATACAATTGTTAACATAAGGTGTAAATACTTGCTGTTTAAATTTCCTGAGAGCAGCTTTTCAAATGTTTTTTGTTTGACTTTGCTGTTCTTGGCTTGTAGATCTCCTCAAAAATCCTGTTATGTTAAACTGAAAATACAAGGCACAAATACTCACAATGAACATTATTCTTACTTCTGTTTCTGCCGGATTTAGAAATACTGTAAAAGCATAACTTTGAATACACAAGTGATTATTTATGGATGAGTTAATCTCTACATGGAATGAATCAAGGTTGGAAAACTGATCTCTAAAGATATCAAAGCATTATTTGGGAATCCTAATGGAAATCAGCCTCCCATATCGGTGTAAAGAGCCCATATATCCTCATAGAAGGCCAGCAGTTTATGGTGTCAGACTACAGGTGGTACATGGATAGCTCTGTTATTCCTTTCCTTGAGCTAGTTATGTCTCTCAACAACCAGGAGTTAAAATATCAAATGTTTGTAATACTAATTTAATGTAAGCTTTGAAGTGTTTTGGTTTTATAAATGTAGTATCATTTGATAATACATTTTTCGAAACATAAAGCGGTACTAAGATGCTCACAGAAAGGTACACTCGTGGTTAAGATACTGATTTTGACGATCTATTAGTCTGAAGTGAGAAACAAGAGTTTACTACAAATAGGCTAATTCTGTGTTGGCTAATGACTCTTGAGTATATGAAATTCAGTCAGATGACACACAGGTCACAGAAATTCAGTGGCAACAAAAAAGGCAATAAAATAACAGCTAGTTATGTTTTATGCGGTGTACAATTTTTAAAAACCTAAAAAATTACCTTTGTAAATGCTCAGAGATAATACATTGCCGTTCATGTATTTATGAATTTATAATAGTTCTGAGATAAAGCGTGAAATTTATACCTTGTTGATATCAATGAGATTTTTGTTAATGTTTTCAGCCAAATCAGTCTGGATGCCTTGGCTCTGCAGAGAAAAATGCCCAGCTAAGTTTTGAACACGTTTAAAACTAGACTGTTTGTATTATGGGATAATTACTTTTCAAGATACTTAAAAATTATTTACAACATAAATGACGTATTTTTTTCTGAAATTTATAGAAGGATTCCACCTGACTTCATGTTTCTTTGGAATAAGCTATCAAAGAGATTTCTAGCAGCAAAATAATATGGACAGTTTTTATTTCTTATTCAACACAGCATATGTTGAGTTTTTAGCAATAAAAACTGTGCCTGGACTGTTTGCTTCTGTGTACTCGCAGGACAGGGCATTGGATGTTAAATTATATTTTTAATAATTTCAAGTACTTTTAAAATATTGCTTTTATCTTACTTATGGCTCTGAAATAATGAAATATAAAGTACTGATTTGTACATGTGATTTGGAAATCAGTTAATGAAACATTTTTTCAGGTATCAGGACCTTAATACATCTAAGGACAGTATGTCTGAAGACCAACAAAATAAGAGGAGAAGCAAAGAAGGTAGTCAAATCAAAGTTTCTATGTATAAAGTGTAACTTGTGGGACCTGAAGGAGAAAAAGGACAATGATGACTTCAAGTCTAGCCACTTCTCAAAACCAAGCAACCACAAAAAAATTTGAAATCAGACTTAGAGTTACTCTTTTTCCACCTTTGAAAAGCCCTGAGATTTGTTTTGGTTTTAATACCTTTCCTATTTTTAAATGCTCTACTTTTGTAGAGTTTCTGTCAATATTTTTCTCTGCTGAATAGGAGTGGTAACTGGAATTTTTTTAGATGTTCTTTGTTTTTATAATTCATTGAATTAATACACTTACCTAAATAACTAAAAGTAATTCAGATTTATGCATTCATATTTCCAAAATTTGTAACAGAAAGTGTGTATAGGTATCTTAGTCAAATGAAAGATGCTCTTTTTTTCTGATAGTTACTTCCTGTATTTCTTTATAATAGTATTTAATGGCCAAAACCAACTTCATTTGCATTGTGTTACTTGTCAGTGAATTATACTGCTTTTATGCAAATATTAATATATTGTTGCAGATTGTGGAAGTGTTGTTGCTCTTCAGAATGCAGATAAGCTAATGACAGAAATGCAGTCATACAAAGCTCCAGGAAAAAACAGGTAAGTAATATTAATATTTAATTTGCAGTTGGTTATGCAAAAAATGGAGACAAAGCAGGCAGCAGTGTACAAGTAAGAGAAGATTTTCTTAGTGCCAGATGTTATACACAGCTGTATATGTTGTCTGGTGTTTCAGTCTTACCAACATCAATTACTGGCCATTGCTGGAGGCAGATATTGCACTAGATGAACAAATTATTTGGTACAATATGAAAAAACATATGGTAAATGGTTTTACATCAGCATTTGACTTAATTAAAAACAGACAATTATCTTGCATACATCTTTAAGATTAATCTCGACTATATTTTTGTACCTCTTTTCAGTCACAGTATTTGTCTTTTTCCATATTTGGACTTTTCATTCTTCAGAAACCAGGTGGCAGAAATCTGAGGCTTGTCCACACAGCCTCTCTTCTGTCAGGCAGGTCATAGCCTTTTTTTATAAATAACAAAGGCACATCTGGTCTTCAGAATTCTTCTGACACCCTTTCCTGATGATTCATAAAACATACATACTGGAAGCAATCAGTTTTTGTTAAGAAAGGGAAGGTGGATGATGTATTTTTCCATTCCTGTTGTTGCCTGGTTTACATTGTTTGTCATTCATTCTCACTTGGAGTCAATCTCTGGCCTCACAATCGGAGGCCACAACTCCCCAGATGGACCAAGAAAGAAAACATGCTTTGGCATTCTTGGATCTTACAAACTTCTTGTTCACAGTGTTTTACAGTCGTGTGGTTATTTGAACTGAGGAGGCTCTTTCCACATATTTTCACGCTGTATTTTGTTTTTATATTTTTGCCTTTTAGCCAAATAGCACCAGCATCCAGACTGTGGCCAGATCAACAAGTGGCACGTTTTCCAAGTAAAAATCAGTTAGGATTACAGATGAGACATCGCACTTCTTTACCTTTCTTCCCGAAGAAAGAGAACGTAGGACGTGGCTTTGACTTCAACTTTCTTCTACAGGCCTCATGCCCAGAATCCAACATTTCAAAATCATTTATGGATTTATATGCTTTTCAGATAATAAATGCACAAATACAACAAAGTAAGTTCAATTTTAAAGGTCACAACTTTAAAATAAAGTTATGTATTGCTATCAAACTAGATGGCAAAGCCTTGGAAGTCATTTTTCTTTAAACTTTAAGTTGTCTTTATGTCTTTTTGAATTCTTCACATAGAGTAGACTTCAGCCATGTTGAGCCTCTTCTTTAATTATAAAGTGTGTGAGTATATTTGCACCATGAAGGAAATAAAGAGAGGCCATAACAGACTTCACCGTTCCTGTTACTCTGTGTAATGAAACTGAACCCACAAAATGTGAAGTGTAATTCTCTGTAGCTGGAGTGGGGCCATGATGCCATCTCTTTCACTTTTTTCCTCATACTGGCAATATTAATTAGCCACATATTCAAGTTAGCAAACATCTGAAATTGAGGAGAAATATTTGCTTAAATTATTAATCAAAGTATTTTTGAATTATCATATTTTATAGTTTTCTATAGAAAATGGAATTGTAAAGTTCAGTATCACAATTAGATTTAAATTCACAACATTTTCCTGCATAGCAGATTTATAGCATAGTCCTGTAACCACACATCAGACAGATTCTTGGTCCGCAGGAGCCTACAGTTTGAAATTAATTTATAAATGAAAATTGTAGTCTGTTTAAGAATACCAAATTAACATTTCATTTGTTTTGATTTTTAAGGGTTAAATATAACAATGCTAAAAACCAGGCACAAGAGATCTAAGGTAAGGTGGTATTATGTATAAAACTGAACACCATTAAAAGTATTATATGCTTTCAAAACTGTAAAAATAGGAATACAGAAGAACTATAGGTAGTTTCCTCTGCTTAATCTTCAGTTTTCTGGATGAACGTGAAGTATTTTTACATATATTTTTTATACGCGCGTGTGTGTGTGTGTGAGCAAACCTTCAGATGTATATTAACAATTTGTCAGTAAGCTGTTACGTCAGGCATTTTGGAGGGTGAAGGGCTGGAAGTTCAAAAAGATA